ACTTCTTCCTTTTTTGAGCTGGAATTAATTAATTTCAGTTGTGTAAACCTTTGTTAGGAATCCAGTTTGTGTGGGTTTTTTGTGTGTTTCTTCTCTCGCTACCACCAGGTGGTGCCCTGTCCTCATTGGGCCTTCCTGCAAACCTGCGGCGCGTTGGTTCATTACTGGATGAGTATTTGAGCTGTAGGCTGTCACTACCTCGACACCAGAGTGTTTGCCAGTTTTGGGTACTCTAGCCAAGCTGAGATTAGCAGAATCTAACCTAGCTTTGTTTCTCTGAGTCTTATGAGTTTTTGTCTTTACTCTTCGGCAGGAAGCCTTCCTGTAAAAACTGGATACCTGGACCTTCTCCCCCTGGAAGGAATTACTGAGTTTACACTGAGCAGGGGAAAACCTCCACATGATCCGTTCAAGTCCCCATCGGAAATCCAAGTGACAGTCCACTCCATTACTCCTCTGGGTCCAACGTAAGTCTACCTGTCCGCTCTCCAACGAGTTCCCTCAACTCTGGATAATCCCACACAGACTGGATTCAAGGGTTGACAAGAGCCCCCTGAAACATGAGTCCCTCTCCAGCATAATTCAACCCGCATTATCATTTCCCACGGTCCCTGAACTTATCTCTGTGATCTTCCCTTCTGACTTTCCAGTTCCGGTTCACCGGTTCACTGAGTTCCAGATCCAACCTCTGTTAACATTGCTTCAAATAAACCTGTTAAACTTTTCCCTGTGTTCTCTGAGTGTTTTTTCTGCATGTGGGTCAGATTCCTTAAACCGATCATTGACAAACTTAAAAGCCAAGGGAAAATGATTTATGCCATTTCAGAAAACCAAGGTAGTTGTAATCCATCCATCCATTTTCCATCAAGCTTTATCCCAGCTTGTGTCATGAGGAGAAGAGGCGGGGTACACACTGGACAGGACGCCAGATTATCGCAGCGCAACACAGAGACAAAAAGGACAAACAACCATTCACACCTAAGCAGAATTTAGAGAAGCCAATTAACCTAACTGTCATGTTTTTGGACTGTGGGAAGAAGCAGGAGTACCCGGAATGAACCCACGCATGCACAGGAAGAACATGCAAACTCCATGCAGAAAGACCCCGGGCTGGGTATGGAGCCTTGAACCTTGTTGCTGCTTGGCAGCAGTGCTACCAACTGTGTCACTGAGCAGATAACAGGTAGTTGTAATCTTTAACTTTATCAAGTGAGATGACAGTGCTTACATTTTTAATTTTCTGGTTATTTCAGAAAACCAACTTTTGGAGCTGGCTTTTGAGGTAGAGGTTCAATGTTCTTTTGATATCCAGTTTAAACAATAAAAATTCATACTGAAGAGATGTTGCCAATCAAAACAACATTGTATGTTCTGTACAATACGGAAGGCGAGAGAGGTCGTACTTGACCTTTTTTTTTTTCCTTTGCCTTCTCGAGATAATGACCTAACTATCTCGCTATCACAGGTAAACTATTATTTGTTTTGTCCAGATAAGATAAATATCTCGTTATCAAGAGAAAATAACGAGATGATTAACCTGTATGAGTACTTAATGAGGCTGCCCAAAAGCCCTGGATTCCCAGTCCATCCATACCTTCAGTGCCCGTAGTTGTGCAGTCATGGTAACAAGTGTGCAAAAATAATAATTTTTTTATGTTTCCTTTTTGTTCTTACTCATTTAATGTAATACAGTTGCAACAAATGTCACTGTTTTTTAATGAAATTTTTTAATCTGGACTAATTTTGGGGGTTAATGCATCTTATACCTGTTAGAGGCGTAACAGCGCAGGAGGCATAGGTCTAATGGCTTATTAATCAGAAGTGGAAGGAAATCGTCAAAACAGCAATGTTGTCTCATTACAGAATTATTTACAGAATTACATATAGACTCCCATGACTTATACTTATAAATCCTCTCCTGCTGCTTCCATATTACAATGACAATAAGCCTTTTACTTAACACCTATTCAAGTTTAAAGTTGAACTGTAGGTAAGTTAACAGTAATCAGGGGTTTTAACTGACCTGCGGTGGTCTACTGTAGTTAGCAAACCAAGCATCTGCTGCTGGCAGCCACTGTAAAGGTTGGGGGTTCAACACTCACATGTTTACCATACCTTAAGCAAAAAGTAGAAGACAAAGTTCCCCACTAAGGGACAAATATTGCTCTTAAAGGAATAGTACACCCAAAACATGATTAGCCTTCATTTTCTACTCACCCCCATGCTGAACAACACTCTGGAGTACTTTTTTGATATCTCAAATGCATCTGGAGATCTGGGAGGCTTCTTGCTGTCTGCTGACATTCAAATAATGGAGGTCCATGGCGCCCGAGACAGAAAGGTCCATAAAAGTCCACAAAAACGTGTCAATATTCCTCCATACTGCTCGTCCAATGTAATCCAAGTGTCCTGAGTGGGTAGCATCCAGAATTTACTCGAAACGAAGTCATTTAGAATGTTTTTAGAGCATAAACAGTAGTGTATAGGATTACCTAATAGCGCCCCCATGCGCGCTCGCGATTCTACGGAAGCCGGCAGACCAAACCAGCGCATTCAGCTCGGCAAAGAACTCATGCTCTTCCTCAACACTGAAGTCCTCAGACATTTTTCTTTCGTTGTTTCTTTCTTTGCACAGGTAAACAGCACATTTCTTCTTCTACGCTTGCATTATCGGCAGACCAGACGCTGAATGCGCACTCTCTTCCGGTTTGGTCTGCCGGCTTCCGTAGAATCGTGAGCGCGCATGGGGGCGCTATTAGGAAATCCTATACACTACTGTTTATGCTCTAAAAACATTCTAAATGACTTCGTTTCGAGTAAATTCTGGATGCTACCCACTCAGGACACTTGGATTACATTGGACGAGCAGTATGGAGGAATATTGACACGTTTTTGTGGACTTTTATGGACCTTTCTGTCTCGGGCGCCATGGACCTCCATTATTTGAATGTCAGCAGACAGCAAGAAGCCTCCCAGATCTCCAGATGCATTTGAGATATCAAAAAAGTACTCCAGAGTGTTGTTCAGCATGGAGGTGAGTAGAAAATGAAGGCTAATCATGTTTTGGGTGTACTATTCCTTTAAGTTTGCCAAACCTAAAAGACAAAATATCTTAATGATTAAGCTTGTTCTAAACTTTAAAATGTACAGAAGTTTTTTGCCTTAACATTTGAGTTCTGCAAACTTTTCTTTGTTTGCAGTGAGGGATGTCTTTGTAAATGAAAAGATGAAATCAGACCTTTTAGTCATACAGCTGCTACCAGTGATACTGAAATTGAAGAATATAAGATGGTTTTAATATTGATGCCCTAGATAATAAATATCACATTACAATGAAATTGTCTTCTCTGTTAGCTTCAGCAATTTAAAACTAATCATGGCTTTCCACTTATACATTCTCAGCACAGTTTAGTATGGCTCAGGTTCTCAGGCTTTTCCATTAGTAAAAGTTGTATTTGTTGGGATCTGGAGGTCTGTCCACTTTCTCCACCAGAGGGCGTACGAGATCTCCTGGAGCCGGAGCTGATTGCACCACCTGTCGCTCATCTGCTCATCAGGAGATCCGTATTTAAGGAGGCGGAGGACTTCTCTCCAGTGCCAGAGTGTTTGCCAGTAACGATTAGCAAGCCTGAGCCAACCAGCCTGTCTGAACCTCTGACTCCCTGAAAACCTGAACCTGATCTGTTTTCTCCTCTCTGCTTCCTAGATTGAATCTGCCAGAAACCTGAAACCCTGAAGAGTTTCTCTGCCGGTGATCTGCCTGTTTGTTCTCAGAGGAACTCTGGAGAACAATTCCTGTCAAGGATCTGCCTGCCCGCTCTCAGAAGATACTGGAAGGAAACTCAAATCTGTGATCTGCCAGCACTCAAATTAAGCTCTGCCTCCGCCTAGCCCTCAGCCTCTGGACCCTCAAGGTTCCCCCCCTCAGCTGCTCAGTTCAACTCAAGAACAGGTACTGGGTTAGACACGTTAAACCAAACATGACAGTATGGAACCATTGGTGTTTTTGTACCTGGATGGTGTTCCAACCACCCCAGGTTGATATAAAAACAAAATATCAGAAGATTGCCAGTTACTGATTGGGTTAGAGGTTGCATCACAAGTTGCTTACCCTAACCTACTATATCCTCCTACCAACGGCCATTTGCCACAGACAACTGGGGGGTTTGAGCTAACACAGAACTGATCCAGGTTCTATATTATATATAAACATATATATGAGGCTGGAAACTAAAGGATCCACCTCCCATTCTTATTTTAGAAACTATAGAAACCATCATTAAATCTGCAGTCCATAAGCATACTGCTCTTTTAGGAACATAGGTACCAATCAGATCACTGATACACCTCTTGTTTTTAATTTTTTTAGGGTTTTATATATTAGAGAAGAGGAAGTTCAAATTACCTTATTAATTGAACAGGGACCCACTTAAGAAAATCAAAAACAGGAGCCTTATGATATTTTCTTTTCCTTTTTACCAAGATGTCATCAGAGATGTCCACTAATGGGTTTGTCAGTGGTGCAGGGAATGGGTACACCACTCATGTGCAGGGGCTTCGGTCCTAAATGTGGCCGCATGTTTTTCCCCTCTCCCAAATCCAACCTTCTGTCTGCATAGAAAATAATAGAATAGTGGCCCTAATACCAAAGTTGTGTTATATACAGTTGTTTGCACGGCCTGTTGAAGTCAGGTACATTTCTGCTTAAAATGACTTAAAAATTACAAGTATAGCTCCTTTCTGTGAGAGGAACACTGTGAGAGAAGTTGAAGGTCAAATCTAAGCTAGGCAAGATTTTTTTCAGTAATACCTCCTCAGTAACAATCTATATGGACCCTGAGTAATGCATGGCTCTCCCCCAACAGAGAGCGATGTCCATTCCATCTATGAAATCAACAAGAACTCACCAGTGGTTCAGAGCAAACACATGCCCTGCGTGTAGGGTGTGTATTCTAACACCAAATGAAAAATAGACCCTAATGCCCAGAGTGAAAACAACCCTACAAAAACCGCTCAGCTTTTGCCTCTTCAAAATGATCACCACAGATCTTCAGTTTCAAACATCCAAAATGTTATTAGGGGGATAACTTGTTTTTCCATGTCAGACTTCAGCAGTTCAGCACACCTGAGGCAGTTGGTGAGCACTTTTCATTCCTCATTTCTGGAAAGCAATATATCATAGTTAAGATGTCATTAAAACTTGGATCTCTTTCAAATTTTAGGGTTTAAAGAATGTTTACTGTTTTAGCTCCAGGGCTTGAGAGTTTGACTCAGAGATTTATTCAGTTTCACCTTTGTTTCACTGCATTCTTCTGAATTACTGTACAAATTTACAAATAACAGAAATGATAGAAATATTGTTTTATCTCTTAGTAAATTAAAAAGAAAGAGGTAATGTGGTGGTCCAGTTATTAAAACTCAGTGCACCTGCTTACAATATATGGACAAATTGGCCTGGTGGAAAGTAAAAGGAAAGTAAACTGAGAAAGTAAACTGCCTATGACTGTTTACAGGAAATCCTACCTCTGAAAACTAGATTTATCTCCTCATATTAATCCTGATACACTGAAGAATGAACAATGTTTTTTTTTTAATACATTTAGTCATGAGAGGAAGGCACTGTACACATAGCCTCATTAGTATTAGTTTTCCAAGGTACTGTATTTTACATCATAAAGAGTGTCTAGTTCTACTTGCAAATGAATGTGTGGCGCTGGGCTGCTTACTCAGGTATCTCCTGTTGCATCTGTAATACTGTCAAAATCTTGTCATTATATCATTTGGCTGAAGTACGTCTTCCACTTTCCATTTGAATGTGAACAGACCCATCAGGCAGCAACTCAGGGAGCTTTGTACCCTTGTTTTATAACTGAGCTACTTTCTAGCAGTTTTGAGACTGCAATCACTGGAAATGCTGGTTTAAACACTGCACTTGAGCTGGTGTAACATGCTTCTCAGGACCCTGCCCATAAGCATTTTGTGCAGCAGAAAAATCCATTCCCATGATGTGTGTGATTCTTAGAGTCAATAGAAGCAAAAAAGAAGCAGGGGTAGTTTGCATACCTTTCTGTAAAATATGTTTTACTCTCTTTTTAGTGTCTCAGCTAAGCCATTTGGCTGAGCATAGCTTGGGCTTGAGTGAGTAGGCTGATAACAGTTCTAACTAGCGCCGAGGAGCTCTGAGATTAATATACTGTAGGTGTAACAAAGAATTAGGGGGAACAAAAGGTATCTCTGAACCCTCACACTGGATTGGCCATGGAGGTCACCTGGGGGGTGTTAATGGTTGTTGGTAGGTGAGAAGTGAATCTTCTTGGTTTTGTTCCTAATAGATCTTTGTAAGTAGGTGAAAGTTTACATATGTCTAAGACCAGCTCCTCTATTGAGAGATGTTTTTTCCAGGTTAACAAAGATGGCTTCCTTAACCACCTTTCTTCCTTGGCCAGAATGTGGATGTTATTGTTCTCAAACGATTGTCCTTTAGCTTTCAGGTGTAGGTGAACAGCTGCGTCCTGTCCTCAGGAGTTGGCCCTCGTGTGTTGAGCCATGTGCCTGTGTAGCGGTTGCTTGGTCTCTCAAATGCACAGGTCTGTGCACTCTTCACTACACTGGACGCCATAAACCATGTTGTCAGCCTTGTTTCTGAGAGACTCCAGCAACATATGGAATGATGATGCTCCTCCTCCCGTTTTCTTCCCTCTGAGCAGGTATCTTCTTGTTGGTTAAAAAACAAAAAACAAAGCTCATCTGGGATAACTAAAGTTCTTCAGGGCAGTCGTGATATGTTCCTGATATTTCATCTTCCCTCTGTTGATGGTAAGAATGGTTTCTGCTCATTTCTGGAGGGTTCGGAAGCCTAGTTTGTTATCCAGTGGGTAGTCTCTTCAATTATATAAATATTCTAGTTTTCCAATGCAATAAAAAGACATTACAACAATTTAAGCAATAAGAATTTCAGGTGGAAGAAACACTTTTCAAAATAAATCTTTTTATTTATTTGTGTTAGGAGCGTCGAAGATGCACTTGAGGTGCCGGACCTTAATGTGTACAAGCTTCAAAAATGAAACAGCAGACGCGTTTTTGCTGCTTCTATCACGAGTGGTCTGAATGTAGCATTAGGCTAAAGGCTTATAGATGGAACAGCAAAGAACCACTGAGGTGTAAGTCTGCTCATCAAACCATTTTTTGTGATAAGGGTTAATAAAGGGCAATTTTTAAGATATTTTCAGCAAAAAAAACTTGCATTACAGTAGGTCTCTTTATAACAATGGACGTTTATATAGTAGTCCATTGTGTTACTCTACAAAGTTATGAAAAGTGAGAAAGTTCAAAGTGTAAAATAAGTTTTCCAAGAGACTGTAAATCCTTGCCAAGGCAGATGTGATATCTTCTTTCTGGAGTGACTTTGAAATGCAATTGATTTCAAAAGTACTTGAAGAGTAACAATTAAGCCTTACAGGTCCAGCTCAATGTCTTTAAAAGTATATATAATGGTGGAACAAAAATCTTCCTCTTCATCACACTAAGTCACTCTACATTCTCAGTCTTTGTTTCTAACTCTTCTATTTTTCATTAACTTTCTATTGTGTGGAATTTTCTCTAAGTTTTGGTTCTATATTGTTGGTTTTGATAGATGAAAGATACAACCACAGGATGAATAATTTATTTTGATTCTTTTTGCTGCACACATCCTTGGACTGAATACTTATGAAAGTCAGGATTGAAGACAGCAGTTTTGTGATTTTGTAAGATTTGCTCTGACATTTAAGCAGCTGCAGGGACTCACAGCTGTTTCCATTGCTGGAAATTTTGTTTCTGTTGTCTCAGATACTTTGTTTGATTTTATGTCTGTCACATTTTAAAGGACTCTGTCTGCTAATTCTACGTATTCGGTGTACATTCAGATGGCCTTCATTTTCAGACGGAATTATTTTAGGCTTTGTCAGAAAACATTGTCTAAATAGAATTCAGACACCTTTTAGACAGGCCTGATACAAACACATTTCAGCTTTCACTGATAGTCTTCCCTGAGTCACTCAGCAACTTCACTGAATTTTTAATTAGTTTTATCTTTTTAATTCTATGTTGGGGCAAACACAGTAGTCAGGATCTTTTTTCCCCTTGCAGTGTATGTTATAGAATGGCTTATTTGAATATTATCTGCATGTTGTCAAATTAAGCTCATATGTGATAATAAAGGGCTGGCTACATCTAGCCCTAGCAATATCAGGACTAATGTTTACAACGTCCTTTTCTGATGCTTTTTGTTCTCCTGTTGGGGTTATGTGACCTTTGGTGCTTATAATGTAAATTTCTTACTCCCATTTCATCTTTGTGCCACTTAAAGCCCAATTTATCTTTCCTATTCATGACAAAAAGTGCAAATTACAAATTCTTGGTCATAAGATGTTGATCAGACGTGTACTTAATATAATTTTGCAGAGAACTATACCCTCAGTTTTATACTTGAATGATTGGCCACAATTATTTTGTTTTGTTTAACCTTTAAATCCATCCAGTAGTTATCACTTTTTCTGAGTTATGAGCTTAAAGACAGAGCATGACACAGTTTATTTCAGACCATGCATTTGAAATATTACTTATCTATATTGCTACATAAGTGTTCAAGAAAGAAAGGAAGGACCCAATTTTTAGGTTTCAAATGAAGCAATTTTTCTTCTTCTATTTTTTTTAAATATATGTTTAATAAGTTTTCAAAGTGAAACATACAAAAAACTCCCACACCCGGGTCTAAGGGTCTATGAAAAATATGCTCTTACCATTACAACAATAGTAGTAATACAAAAAAAGAAAAAGAAAAAAAGCCTTCAATGACAGAGGGAAAGAGAGGAGAGAAACGAGGAAACGAGCCAGACAAATTATCTAAGTAACGGTTACACTGCACTGATTACCATTTACACTTTAGGATAGTACTACATATCTATGAAGGCACAGGTGGCATACTAAGAAACTGAGCGGCTGTCGGGGTCAGTCTTAGACTGAGAAATATGGTCCAGAACTGGCTGCCAGATACTACAGAACTTATTAGTGGAGCCCTTGTCAGTTTTCCACAATCTTAATATTACTTTCTTAGCTATCACCATTCCATAAACCACAGTCGTTTTTTTTTATAGAAATGCTGCAGTTCAGTGAGGGAGAGTGTCCAAACAATGCAATTTGGGGGTCCGGAATAAATGTGCATTTATACACTTCAGAAAACCATTTAAAACTGTAACACCAATATTGGAAGAGCTTGGGGCATGACCAGAACAGATGAGTCAAGGAGCCATCGGCAGAATATTGATGGGAATATTCTGTGCAATTTTGTTTTTGAATAGTGGAGTCTGTGAAATACCTTGAACTGAATTAACTGGTGCTTTACATTAATAGTGCATGACCGAATTCTCCCAAGGCCCTCCGCCCAGATCTTACTCCCAATCTGTAAGCCCAGCTCCTCCTCCCATGCAGCCCTCAGAGAGTCTGTGGCAAAATTCCCTCTGCAAATATGCAAACAAAGCTTGAAATTATTATTTTTTTTTTTTATTCTGGGGAGCCCAACAGCATTCTGCCTAACTTATTTTCTTCTGGGAGAGATACGAAGTTCGGGATGTTAATTTGAACGTAATTTCTAATTTGCAGATATCCGAAAAAATCTGTGCCCGGAAGAGAGAAGCGGTTGCTCAGCATTGCAAAAGAAGCAAACTTTTTGTTGATGGCCTTTTAGCCTCGAATTTTAAAATAATAAATCCGATAGTGATGGGGGGAAAGCATGATTGCGGTAAATTGGGGTGTGAACTGAGGTATTCGGTAGGTCACAATGTACCTTCATCTGTTTCCATATCTTTAAATAGTTTAAAACAATCAAATTATTTACTCCACTATTTCTGGGGGAAATTGGTGCTGAGAAAAGAGGTGCCTGAGGAGAACTGTTTCCAACAGTGTTTCTTTCGAGTGATTTATAAAAGGCCCTTGTTAAAAAAATTGGTAGGCTCTGAAAAAGGTACAAAAATTAAGGCAGACACCATTTTAATGGCATTTATGCGGCCCATCTTTGAGAGTGTTCTCCATTTTTTGAAGCAAATTTTCTAAGAGAGAAAAAATAACCAAATAATGGAGGGTCAAAGTCAGCCTTAATAGTTCAAAGTTTGCAGAGAATGACTGAATCACTTGAGTCAATGAACCCAAACAGGCAACAAAATGCAGAGAAGACACATTAGTGGAGGGATGACTCAAACACTAAGCAGTTAGGGCAATATGACAGAAAATATGTCTAAAAAAGAAAAGTAATCTGGCGTAGTCAATATTAGATAAACGAAAATATCAGTTATTTCACCTGCTGGGGATTCCAACCTACAGAGATGACGTAGGGAGACATTAAAGCCCAGATGACTAAAACCCAGAGTTGTGAGCAATAAAGTATGTCTTGCAGCTTTGATATTCAAGCTGCTTTGGGGGTTGTAAAGGCAAAATTAAAACATCCACAATCTCAAATAGATCAGTAGAGAGCTGTGGGTGGTACATTTATCTGTGGGTAAATTGTTAGTTGTTAGTCACCTTAAAAGAAAACCAGACAGTTGTGTTTTTAAACCCTATAGACTTGCTCCTTTTAATCATATTTCCCCGTCAGTCATGTTGTATCCATTTCAAATTCTTTGTTTTCCTGTTGGTATAGCACATAAAACAGCCAACAGAGGAGATTTCGATATTTTTAGGCCAAACAAACTGCTGCTTTGTTCCGGGATTTGATGTCAAGGTTGTGTCATTCCTCACACTGCATTAACACTAGAAAGCCCAGAGATATGAGAATTTTCGTCAGCCTCCAGTCCCCCCAACAGTACTTCCCAACCCATGAATCCCTTTTCAGATGTAAATGCCCCACTAGCTCTGTCATTGGAGAGCCATTCCAGCCCCTTCAGATTTGGCTTTAGCTCAAGCCTCTCTTTAGTGTTTTACCTGAGAGCAGGGGGGGAAAAAAATCATATTTGTAATTAATTATAACGAGATCTACGTCATCAGTGTCACCAACACCAGAATGATTTCACACAGCTGAGCCACCAGCGCAGCGATCGGACGATAACTGATCTGTATGACAATAGCTGCATGAGCTGGAATTCTGCAGAGAGGGAAAGCAAGAATATTTATACAATAATGACTATCTGCCCTATTTACTACCGGGCAAATATCACTCAAGTATATTTCCTAAGCAGAGAGACAGCATCGTCTCTACAAATTCTACAAAACAGACAACTCTCCGCAACCACAGCAAGGCAGACAGTAAGCTACAACCGTAGTTTACTCAAAACGAGTGTCCTATCGCACTGGGAGAATTACATTGGACCCTATGCAGAGCTTGCTCCTGCAAGTTGCAAAACCATAAAAATAATCAGAGAGAAATATTCAAATGTGTCACCAAGGAGAGGTGGATTATTATCAAATTATTTCAAGTGTATCTCATATCATGTCTTTAATATCACATTTATTGGATTGGAAAATAATACTTTTTTTTTTTTTAGGAATTTCCCAAAGTCTAAATGACAAATAGCAGCTCTATTTTGCTATTAGAATAAGTATAAAATGAGCAATGAGTACACTATAGATCATTGTAGTGTACTGTTCTTTTCTTTTAAAAAAAAAAGGTATCTTTTTTCTTCTTGACTCTGAACATTATTCTCAGATAACCTAAAAACCATGATTTCATTACATTAGT